TTTGGCACTATATCCTTCCTTCAAGACTTTTACTACACTATGAGTATCATCTTTATGCATAGACAACTACATCCTTGGGCAAAAGGTAGACTCAAAGAGCAGCTCACTAACACAACCTCGACGATTCAATAGCCACGGTCGGACATTTACTTTTTACACTCACTTATCTACATATTGGCAAGTAGCAAGTAATATATATGCTATGCTTAGTACTCGAAAACGAGCTTAGCTTCAAAATGGAATAAATTGTAAACGCCCAGGAAAAGATCTCTAGTTAACAAAACCAATCCTAGACCTAGCAGACAAGGCGGGTAGAAGCATACTACGCACCCTTGATCCTTTCCCTCGCTCTGAACCTGTGTCTGCCCTTTACCCTGCAGCCTGGAGGGAACTTAGACTGGCACTTTAGATGGCCGGGCACTCCTTATTTTCACTCAAAAAGCTGGACAAGTAGTTGATCTCGGATAGCCTAACAAGTTTTTGCCCTCGAAAGGGAGCTACTATCCCTGCTGGATTTCCAGAAAACGGAATGTACCTAGGGAACCCTATTGATCAGATCTGAGACTGAACCTAGTGATCTTTCTCCTGCTGGCAAGCATCGATACCTGTCTCTAAGGAATTGATCTTATCTTTCATATACCAGGATAATAACCCCGAAGGACTGCAATTGGAAGGAATTAGCACTCACCATAAGCAACCGCAGAGAAGGAAAATGACTGGCCTTAGACGGAGGAAAGAAAGAGGTAAAAAGATACTAGCTTTTCGGAATTACTGATTCTGGCTTGCCCAAGAGGTCAGATACTAATAAAGGTTATGGATAGTGAATAACTACTTAGGAATAGGCAAATACTCCGGATAGATAGGCAAGAACTATTCCTTATCCATAGTCAAATACAGCTTACGCATAGTTTACTACATCTCGAAAGAGAACAGAGATAACTACTTAGACTGGCGCTATCAACTACTTGAACTCTATTACAGTAAAAATGGAAGAAGTAACTACTTATGATTATGACATACCTCTTTCAGTAGCATCTACTACTTCTGATATTAGACTTTACTTGAGGCGGCAAAGGATTTAGGAAACTAAAGGATAGTTATTGACAGTATAATACTCTAGAAAGGAATATGCGCAGAGAAAAGGGTTTTCTTTCGCCTTGAGGCTTTCCTTAGATGACTAACTTTACTTTTCTTACTTAGACACTGGTGAAACTGCCTTTCCTAAACCTGCTTTCCTAAGCTTTTTTGAGAAACTCTAACTAGTCTTTTTTTTTCAAGGTATCTCCGTAAGGTATCCTATCTATTACTACTGGTATTGTAAGAACTGCTAAGCCCTTTAGATCTATATCTATCTTACTATCGAAAAGTGCTTCTACTCCTAATAAGCAAATTCGCTATTTTCGTATCATTCCTTCCATGCTCAAGGGCTATTGGGCATTCTCCTAACAGTACTAGGGTATTTAATACAATGATAGAAGTATTAGGATTAAGACTAAAAGAATACCATTCATACCGAACTATCCTGAATAAGATTGGATTGGCTAAGGAGGCGGAAGTTCCCAGAGAATAGGTCCCGGTCAATCCCAATCCCTCATTCTGAGAATAGTGATAAAGCAGTTACTTTATCGTCTAAATGTCGGAAAAATGGATCCTATCCTCCGAAAATTCCATAAGATAAAGCCTGCCAGTTGTAGTTCCCGGTGAATATGGATAGTAGTCTAATTCCCGGCCCGCATTGTCAACTTTGATTCTCGTAGCCCTTTTTCCAGATTGGATCCTCACTTTTACTTTGGTCGTAGATAAAGAGAGAACTTGTCGATTGGTCAAGCGATTCCAGATTCTTCTTCATTTGCAGCAGAGAAATAGCTGCCCAAAGGGGATCATTGAGCCGGTTACCGGTGGCTAAGAGCCTTTCCTTTTCCATACAAAAAGCTTTCGTTGAGACAAAGCAGGCAGGGCAACTTAAACCCAAGATGGAAGGAGTTCACCCTTTCCTTTCTGTGTAGACGTCAGGATTATATAAATCCTTTTTTTTATATAAATCATAGCCCTCGTGGGGAATCAATCATGGGCAGATGAAGTCCCCGTGCTGCTTTTTCAAAATAAGGAAGAAATGCGTACAGGAAGGATGGGCTCCGGGTCACTCTCTTCACTGATGCTTCGAAGCTTCCACCTTTAACTCGTCAAAGCAAACCTACTGAATGTTGAATCTCGATCGATGTCAGAAACCAACCGTAGAAGAGAGGTCGAAGCACCTGATCACTCGTTCAGCTCGTTTTTCGCTCGTGCCTGTATGAATTGCATAAGTCATTGTGTTTTGGCGGTGGAGAAGTACAGAAGTAAACAGTGTGTTAGTATTTAGTTGTGCGAAGCGTTGTTGACAAGACTTACTCAACTCACACCTGCTTCCGGTGACAACTACCACTCTCTTATGAATGGGAGGGTAGAGTACCAAGACATAGGGATTAGCCAGCGAAGGCGGTTTATTTAGTACCAAATATACGTATTTTGAATTCTTTTCAGTCAGGACAGTTCAAAGGCACGAGAGATAAGGAAAACTGAAAAGCTTCTCAAACCAGAGTAGGAATTCGATCAATCGCTATCAATGCCAGGAGGCAGATCAAGATTCATGGGAACGAGAACCTTTTCCGAGAAGAGTCAAGCGAGGATAGGATAGATGAATAGGTTTAAGCCTTTATCCGCTTTTAGGGATTCATTTACAATTTCTAAGGCTTCGTTTTTTTCTCCGGCAAGCTGCTGCTAAGGGAAGCATTTATTCCCAAGCGATAGGGCTTATAGTTCAGATTGATGCCTTAGTCCACTCGGAAGATAGAACTAATAATGGAAAAAGATATGCTTAAGAACTCCAACAGTAAGTTGATCAGTTACTATCGGTAGGGACGGGAGACAAAACTGCCACTGATGAGAAAGCGATAAGAAGCCTGAAAGCGATTCTTACACAAGATACGATGACAGGAAGGGAGTTCGATCAGGAATGGAACCGGAGAATATGAAATTGGCTCTCGACCCAGGCCTTGCTTTGTTTACCTGTCCTATCGTATCGAATAAGGTTTCCTAGCCTAGCCCATCACGGTGTCTGCTACCGAAAGAGAGAATAGGTCTAAGGGCAGCATCTACTCGTTCATCGCTTGCCTCACCTCGAAAGAGGCATGGCTTCTCTCTTCACTCACTCGCCTGTTCGCCTGCTTCAATAGCATGGAAGAAGGTGTTCTAAGAGCATAGTTTCACATATACATGGGGTTCTTTCCATTCTCTTGATCAATAATTCACTTATAGAAAGTAGAAAGACTCTTATTTCGAAGATCCATATCTAATCCCACTTCGTTCATAGCGACCGCACTTCCCATGCGCGCTCTACTCTTCACTCTTGCTCACCTCTCTTCTTCAACAAGGATTTGCCGTTCCTATCTGTTTTTCAAGGTAAAAGAAGGAGCCGGCCGAATCAAATGGGGCTGCTGTTCCTAATGGTTTCATAGCTTTTGCGCGTATCGTAGGATTCGTACGTCTATAAAACGTAGTCCTCTATGGCTATTCCTGAATCGTGGGAAAAGGTATGCGTATACTTAAATTGAATTGATCGTCCCTATTTCGGGTATAGAAATGTGTTCAGTCTCCTTTCTCTTTTCGGGAGCAGAGCTTCAAAAGATGGACAGTAACGATCGCGTAAAGGAGGGCCCGCTTACTAATACGGAGAGGGTTCCGCATGAAAAAGACAATCCTAAACTTCTTCGTTTCGTTGGTTTTTCCAAGGTCTTTTCTTTTCTATTTTTTTGAACATGAACGGAAGTAGCGTAGGACACCCAATCCTCGATCAAACCTCTACTTCAATGAACCACGTCGCGTTCTTTATCTTTCTCACTCGTCGTTTCGTTGGAAAACCCACGCCCAATATCATATTGACTCTCTCTCGTCCAATAAGAGTTTCCGAGAGTTACTTTATTCAAATTCTCTCCTTTCCAAAGCTCCACAAGGCTGACAAAAGAGTAATAGGACAACAAGCAATCTTGCTTTCATTTATTTTGAGTTCTTTCTTTGTTGAGATGGAAATCGACGTTCTTTTGAAAAGGGCTAGGTAGTTTGCACGCAGGCTTCTTCATGAAAGGTAAAAAATAGACTTTGATTTCATCATCAACATGACTAGTCGTTCGTTTGAAGCCTTAAGAAACCGGCAGAGAAAGCGGCAGTTTTTTTCCGAATGACCTGATTTCGAGAATCAACTAACCAACAAATCCGTAGCCCAGGTGATTCGCTGCCTCCTCTCGCCAAACCAAAATGGGATGAATCTTCTCATGCAGCTTTTTTCTTATTCAGGGCGCTGCGAAGCCAATTTCCATCAAGGCAAGGGGGTAAATAAAATAAGGGGGAAGAGGAGTTGTCACGATAGAAAAGAGAAATGACTATAAGGAACCAACGATTCTCTCTTCTTAAACAACCTATATACTCCACACTTAACCAGCATTTAATAGATTATCCAACCCCGAGCAATCTTAGTTATTGGTGGGGGTTCGGTTCGTTAGCTGGTATTTGTTTAGTCATTCAGATAGTGACTGGCGTTTTTAGCTATGCATTACACCTCATGTGGATCTAGCTTTCAACAGCGTAGAACACATTATGAGAGATGTTGAAGGGGCTGGTTGCTCCGTTATATGCATGCTAATGGGGCAAAAGTATGTTTCTCATTGTGGTTCACCTTCATATTTTTCGTGGTCTATATCATGCGAGTTATAGCAGTCCTAGGGAATTTGTTTGGTGTCTCAGAGTTGTCATATTCCTATTAATGATTGTGACAGCTTTTATAGGATACGTACCACCTTGGGGTCAGATGAGCTTTTGGGGAGCAACAGTAATTACAAGCTTAGCTAGCGCCATACCAGTAGTAGGAGATACCATAGTGACTTGGCTTTGGGGTGGTTTCTCCGTGGACAATGCCACCTTAAATCGTTTTTTTAGTCTCCATCATTTACTCCCCCTTATTTTAGCAGGCGCCAGTCTTCTTCATCTGGCTGCATTGCATCAATATGGATCAAATAATCCATTGGGTGTACATTCTGAGATGGATAAAATAGCTTCTTACCCTTATTTTTATGTAAAGGATCTTGTAGGTCGGGTAGCTTCTGCTATCTTTTTTTCCATTTGGATTTTTTTTGCTCCAAATGTTTTGGGGCATCCCGACAATTATATACCTGCTAATCCGATGCCCACCCCGCCTCATATTGTGCCGGAATGGTATTTCCTACCGATCCATGCCATTCTTCGCAGTATACCTGACAAAGCGGGAGGTGTAGCCGCAATAGCACCAGTTTTTATATCTCTCTTGGCTTTACCTTTTTTTAAAGAAATGTATGTGCGTAGTTCAAGTTTTCGACCGATTCACCAAGGAATATTTTGGTTGCTTTTGGCGGATTGCTTACTACTAGGTTGGATCGGATGTCAACCTGTGGAGGCACCATTTGTTACTATTGGACAAATTTCTTCTTTCTTTTTCTTCTTGTTCTTTGCCATAACGCCCATTCCGGGACGAGTTGGAAGAGGAATTCCAAAATATTACACGGAATAGACTCATCGCACCGGATCAGTCTCTTAGACGGATGAGACTGATCACACCTGATCAGTGATCAATTCTGGCACAATGAATTTACGAGTTATTTTACACAATGAATTTACAAGCAGATGAAGTTGATGCAATGCAAGCAGATGAAGTTGATACACACTACGGAATTCTTTCTTCTTTTCTATTGCTTTTTTAGAAGAAAAAAGAAAGATAACTCAAAACACGTATTGCTGCTTCTTCACTCTTTGCTTGATCGCATATTCATGATGTTAACCCTTCTTCTATTTGCTGAAGCTGGGCATTGGTTGGGGATTGAACCTACGGCACTACTTATGATGCTATCAAAGGTATTGAATCCGTAAGCTTATTGATCGCATATTGCACTTCTTTTCTGGAATGAGAGAGGAAAGGGTAGAGAGAGCGAGGATATGCTTAATCCGCTTTGGGAGGCATATGCATTTCAGTCTGCACGGGCTTACAAAGAGGCATTTGGATAGCACAGATAACCGAGACAGGAATAGTTGTCACGAGATATGAGAGGAGAGTTTCTAGATGAGCAAGAAGGCGTTAAATATATAATGCAAAAAGGAACTACCTAATAAGCCAGCTCTATGGTTTTGCAACGTTTCAACTAATTGGAAATACCTGCTCTTCGATGTTACAAGCTAGCCTTGCTACGATTTCCATATAGGTACAGAAGATTGTGATACCCCTCCCAGAGTGTATGCTCCAGATGAAGCTAGCTTCCAAGCGAATGAACTGTAAAATCTCTACTCTTTTGCCATCTTATTCTTACTTATACGGAGTCTAGACCTTTTCTTCTTTTTACTTCACACAAAAAAAAAAAAAAATATTGAAGAATATATAATATATTAGAATAAATGGGCAATAGTTGGGAGAGGTGCGCCAGAAGGTAAGGTGGACAGACCAGAAGAGTAGGGTGCTTCCGATATCACCATGATCGGTAATGGAACGCTACGCCTTGCTTTCTTTATGCCTCAAGGCTAATTGAATGAATTGAGGTTTAGTAAAATTCGATTGATCAGAAAGGAAAACCAAACCTGTAAAGAACTTCTACTATGGATTGCCGGTGCGCATTAGTCCGACCAGATTCTAGATGATCTGCCACGCCTCGTCCTATTCCATTCTTTTTTCTTTGAATGGAGCCTTAGCGAGTTCCGTTGCAGCCAGTTCGAATTCGGACAGTAGGCCTCCCAACTCGCTACAAGGCAAGAACCAACCACTATAAGTCAACTCCAATAAAGAAGCTTGGTGGAAAGAAGGAAAGAGAGAAAAAGCTACGTCTCTTTGATCAGTTATCCTTTCTAAAATAATAGGTTTTGCCTCTACTCTATTTGTCTAGGCTGGGGTTAGGTTTGCTATTGGACGGCTTTCTCGATTATAGGGGAAGACTTTCTTGGAAATGGCTTTATTGCTATCCACTTTCCTAAGCTTTATAAGAGAAGATCTAACTAGCCTGGCTTACTTTCTAGCCTGTCAACCTGCTCTGACATACCCTTCTAGCTCACTTGAAAGGAGAGTTGTTGCTACTGTATGAAAGTCTCGATTAAAGAAAGGGATAAAAAGACATACATTCACTCGGTTTTAGCGTTGTTTTGATGTTTCCTTCCATTCATAAGAAGAAAGAGGCTCTCATCCTGTAACTCTTCTATTCTTCCTCGACTAGCTTTGGCAATGGCAATAGATTGGATTGTGCGGGAAAGGGAAATGTTGATGCAAATACCTTTTGTTTTTGGTATTCAATAGAAGGGACCGCTAAGGGAGGATTCTTCAGGTGTATTGGATGCACTAACACCATCACAAGTAATGCACTGCAACACGGAAGAGGAGTGCGCTCTCCTTGCTTTCCTTATTTTAGCTACTTTACCTCAGAATCCCTCTCTGCATCCGGGCTCGCCTACACTATCGTTCCGGTCAAGAAGAAGAATGGTCGGATACGCATATGTGTAGATTTTCGGGACCTAAACAAAGCATGCCCCAAGGGAGAACCCCCTTTCTCTCCACAAGGAACTGATTCCTACAACGGTTACGGCTTCCTCTGATCGAGCTCCTCCAACGAACTACGAACGTACGCTTTCAAGGAATAGGAATAGAAGTCCTATCGGTCTAGGTTCCTAATCTGATTCCTTCCTCGGCATCGGAACAATACTTTGCTCTACCCTCACACACCCAGGCCTAGGAGATAATGAGATGGAATTACTACAAAGAAAAGATACACCCTTTGGCAACCGCCCACGTCCCATCAACTGATTGGCCCCAGGCCTACCACTATACAACTAATACTTGCCTGCTTGTTTCTTTTCCTTGTGAGTGTGAGCAAGAAAGGGGATAGACACGGGTGAAGAAAGCAGACCTGGGGGTTTGACTGTTCTGTTGGAGTGGAAGAACATAATTGAGTGCCTGCCCTTCTCACTTCTGGTTCATCAAGATAGGGTTCCAAGTTGATCTCCATTTCTTCCATTCGCAGTCAGAAAACTACTGCTTTCAAGCCTACGTGCGCAGGAGCGCACTTCCGTTTTCTACTTCGGAGCCGGGTCGATGTTCAAAAAGAACCAAATATCATAGATTGTTCATGTCGTGAAAAAGAACTTATCAACGTGATAGATAGACTTCGTCTTACAGAAAAGATAAGAAAAAGCGAAGCGGGAAGGGTCTAAGAGCTTATTTTGGGCTCTGTTCCCGAGGCATACTCAGATAGATAGATAGAGAGGTGTCAGGCTAGCTTTCAAACAATGTCAGCAGAAAACATCTATATAAATTCTCACACGTCCCCATTTTCGTGGTCTTTTTTCTTGCACCAGGCTTGCTTTGCTTACCTAAGAAACAAGTAAAAAATCGGATATGTTTTTCAAACTGGCCTGCGTAAGGCACTTTCAAAAGCTTGATCCCACTCCCGGCTAAATAACCTTCTTTCTTTACTCTCGTTCACGTTTACGGTAGAGTCATTCTATCTCTATAAAGCAACTGCTTTACAACCTACTATGCCTAGAGCCTCATTTGAGTGTATGAAGCTGATTGGAAGGATGGGAGAGAACAAAAGAATGGTACTAGGCTTTCTACCAACGGTGAACCATAAATAGCAGAGAGATCGAGCCAGGTTAAACAGATCAAGGGAAATCAGAGCGAGAATTTCTTCTGGTGGGTGAAAGGGGCTATCTAAAACTTCAACCTCATAGACAAATCACAGTGTAAGGAAAAGGCAGCACAAACTGAGCCGTACTATGGCCATTTGAAATTCTAGACAAGATTGGAACTTTGGCTTGTAGATGGAAATAGCCTGTGGGATCGATGTCCGGTTTTCCACGTGTCTCAATTAAAGAAGGGCGGAGGCAGTATATAACAGACCAAGTACTGGAAAATAAAGTGAAAGTCAATTTCGATATGCTTGGTGCCCTCATGAAATAGTGCATTGGCCGCAATGGTTAGGCAAGCCTGCCTGGTTTTCTAAATGATACAGGAGTCGACAGATAAATACCAAGGTCACTTTAGAAAAAAGGAAAATCAAGTTTTTCCGTTTTATGCAGTGAGTGGAATTAAAAGTGAAATACAGATATCAGTGGTTAGCAAGGAAAGCTTTCAATTCACTAAGCGAAATATAGCTTCAAGCAAGCATGGGGTTTCTAGCTAGGAGCTCACATAGGGATGATAATAGGGCTGCTAGGGTTCTTTGCATTTATTCCAATTTCATTGCTTTGCTTTGAGGCAGTGCACTATCTATATATGATATCATGTGGTGGTATACCTCTAGCGCTAGGTCCCTCGCTTGAATGGAAGGATCCGTACAGGTTATACTCCTTACCCGCCCGAGGAGCCGTAGAGGACTTGACTAACCACTTGAAACCAGGCACTGAAACCCTAAATGCTTCGCCTGGCTATTACCATCCAAAGAGGAAAGACTTTGTTTGACCAGCAGGAATGTATTCTTGGAGCTATGCGAGGACAGAAAGCAGTAAGTAAGTTCTCTCTCATTCAGTTGTTTTTCCAGCGGTGAGATTGATCCTGTAGGTTTATGAAGACAGGCTTTCGAGGACAAATCTACTATTTATCTTCTTTTCTTTTGAAACAATTCTCTATAGCTGGTCTGCCCACTGGCCTATCCTACTTTGGTTAAGGTGATTGGAGATTGCTCAATCAGAAAAGGAAAACATTCGATCCTTGCAAAGCTTCAGGACATGAATTGGAATGAAAAAAAATGATTACTTCAAACTTTAAGAGAGATGGAGGACTCCCAATCGGTTTAAGCAAGAGCTTTAAAGTTGAAAGAAGAAGGCCGAAGGCTTTGACATTCAATCAACGGAGTTGTTTTGTATTCGATTCTTTCTATTTCTTCTCTATCCTTCTTCTCTGCCAACCCTACCTTACCTTATTGAATGCCTTGCACTTGCTTTCTCGTCTCAATCCGACGTTCTTCTTTCGACGTGTGAACCTATGAACTTCTCCAACGTCGTAGCTTTAGGTCAATCCTAGTAGCTTTCTTTGCCGACCGAGCCATCACTCGCCTTCCTACTACCTACTATAGGCTTGCTCCTGAAGCTGGAAAGTAACGAACAAGTGAAAACTGGAATCTAGATTGTGGTGCTTCATCTCTAGAATGGGCTCTTTACTCACCAACAAACACCATTCCACAGCTTCAACATGCTACCAGTACAATCAG